TGTTGGCGGGGATGTGGTGAAAAGGGAACCCTCCTACACTGTTGGTGGGAATGTAAACTAGTTCAACCACTGTGGAGAACAATATGGAGGTTCCTCAAAGATCTACAAATAGAACTACCATTTGATCCAGCAATCCCACTTCTGGGTATTTACCCAAAAGACAGGAGAACGCTCAGTCAGAAAAGTGCTTGCACATCCATGTTTATTGCAGCATTATTCACAATTGCCAAGACATGGAACCAACCTAAATGTCCACAAACTGATGAATGGATTGGAAAAGTGTGGTATATATACTCTATGGAATACTACTCAGCCATAAAAAATAACAAGACCCTGGAATTTGATAGAAAATGGTCAGATATGGAGGATCTATTGCTGAGTGAAGTAAGCCAGGCTATGAAAGAAAGATATTGTATGTATCCACTCAATATATACCGACTATCCGCACTCTATGATAGAGAGCAAAAAATCGGAGGACATAAAAGCAGTGAAGGTACTTAATGAGAATAGGACAGTGTGGAATGGGGTAAGTGAAGAGAAGAGGATAGAGAAAGATAGCAGTGAACAATAGAGAGGCAGGACGTTAGTGAGAAACAGATAGGGCTTATTAACTGTTGATGATGACATGTATAGTATTCTCAACTGGATTGGTCTGAGAAGTATTTCATGATGGGCAAAGTATTTTTACAAGCAAAATGAGAAATAGCAATTGACTGTTTTAAAAAATAATTAGAATAATAAAAATAATGATTGGGGAAAACAGAAAAGATATTGAATGTTGAAGTGGGGAGATTAATGTCTCTGTACTGACGGACATGCATGGCATTCCCTTTTGAAAAAACAATGTAATACACTGTAAAGTTATATGTAATCCAATGTAATATAAAGAAGATTATGATGATGATAATAAAAAAATAAAATTAAAAAAAAAAGCCTGTTCTATGTCCTATGGAAAGTTTCAGATGTGCCTAAAGGTAGGAAAAGCAGTGTAGTGAATTCTTATGTAACTATCTCTTGACTTCCATACAGACTGATATTATTTCCCTGATGTTCCTATTAACACCCCCAGACATGGATTCTTTCTAAGGCAAATATAAGAAATCATATAATGTTACCAGAAAATAGCTCAGTATGCGTATCTAACAGATGAACTTAAAAAGAAAAAACTATAAGACAACCATCACATCTTACAATAGCACTAATTCCTTTATATCCAATGTCATCAACATCCACATTTTCCTGATGTTCTCGTAACATTTTTAATTGTTTCAGTCAGGACCCACACAGGTCTCTCTACTGCAAGTGCTGATGTTGCTTATGTATGTTGTAATCTAAGTTTCCTGCAGGTTGCTCTTCCGTTCCTTTTTTGTTTGCCATTTATTTGTTGGGGAAAAGATGGGTGAAGCTTGTCCCAAAGTTTCCAGGAGCTTGAAACTTGCTGGTTCTACCCCTATGCTATTGTTTAACAAGTTTCTCAAAGGTACGACATAGGTCTAGAGGGGCCAGCAGGTGGCGGAGTGGTTGGGGCACTGAACTCCGACATGGCTGACAGCAGTTCATGGAGGCTTGAAACATGCCAGACACGTGTGCATGCATGCCCAAAATCCCAGGAGGAGAATGGAAAAGAAGGGATTCCAGCATGGCCATCCCCCTTAGGGGGTGATTTCTCACTTTCTCTCTGCCTCTTTCTGTGTCTGACCCAGCAAGTGTGTGCACCCTATAGCAAAAATTTCTCTTAAAAAATAATAATAAAGGGGGAAATTTTGTAGGGAAAGAGATGGGTACAGGGATATTTATCACCATTTTGTTATAATAGTCAAAAAATACAAATGATTTCAATGTTCAATGAGGAAGAGCATGCATAAACTATACACATACTGTCCACGCAATATTCTATGACTATTAAAAACATACTTTCAAAGAGTACTAAATAATAAAGATGTTCATGTTACATGAGCAAATTAGGATAGAAAGCAGTAGGCAAACAGCACAATGCTAATTTTGTTTCAAAAACATTAAAATATCATTTATTTCTGAGTCATAAGATTACATATTGTTCAAATTCTCCACAATGAACCCACATTACTTTTATAAGCAGATATCACAATAAACATAAAATATGTGGGCTCCTGCAGAATCTCATATTACTCTCCACTTGGATATTTAGTGAACACGGGTTCTCTGTGGTCACAGAAGTGGGTCGTGGCACTCAGACAGCTGAGCAACCTACAAAAGGTAGCTCTTAGCCAGACTGAGAGCAGGGCTGGCAGAGGTAGGTATTGTGAGGTGATTCTGGGGAACTCCTGAGTAAAAACCTTTGACCTGAAGCAATGTATCTGGCCTTGTGGGTGGTTTATATTTCTATCGGGGGGTTTATATTCCTGAGGAGGAGGGCTGTAGGACATGGACATCTGCAACGTATAAGCACCCCATGAATGGTGCCCCCGGACAATCCAGGGTGACTGTACTCACTCTCCACCAGGAGGGTCCAGCTGCAGGACACCTGGCCGCGGATGTTGGAAGCCGTGCAGCTGTATTTCCCGCTGTCCCTTGCCCGGGGTCGTAGCAGGCAGAGGTAATGGGATCCGGCCTCTTCATAAACCTCAATGGTGTCTTCTTGTCTCCTCAAGGGGGTACCTTCCAGGAACCACACCACTTCAGGCTTTGGGATCCCTGAAACTACAGGGCCAAGTGACAAACATGAGTCCCTCAAAGAGCAGTGTGCTGTGGGCAGGGGGGTGACGCCTGGATCAGAGGGAAGCTTAGTTTGGAGGGGAGCTATCCTTTCACTGCTAAGCCTGCTTCTTTGTTCCCAACTCCGCACTCCATAAGAGACAGGGAAGAGATGTACGAGGGCGATAAGCCAAGTCTTCAGGGCAGCCAAAGCTAGGAAAGTGGGAGAAAGAGACCTTACTGTTGTTTTTTGGTGATGGTAATGATGTGGTTTTGTTCTTTCTAGGGTGGTCAGAATTAGGGCTCAGGCTGATGCTCTGTTCAACAATGAACAATGGGCCACTGCTGGGCGTCTCCCCAGAAAGAGATTTCTAGACTAACTCTTTCCTGAAACGAAGACTCTTGTAAGTGGCTTCCCGGGAACTAGTCCTAGGGGATGGGTGGGTATAGGAGGTGCAGACCAGCCATGTGCTGAAGGAAGGGAGTGGCCACCAAGATGCTGCCTCCTGGGAACCAGCACCCTTAATTAGCTCTACTCACCCTGACATCTGAACTTGACTGCATGATCCTCACTGACTTTCTGGCTTTGGGGCTTGCTCTCAAATTCAGGAAATGTCAAGTCCCTCCGGCTGTCCAAGGGTATCTTCCTGGTAGCAGCCTTGCTCACAGTGTCCTGGCTTCCCACGCCAGACAGCCTGGTGGGAAGGGTAACTGGATGGGGAGCAGATGGCCTCTTTCTCTCTTCTTCAGAAGATGAGAGGGCCCCCGAGACTGATGCTTTTGGTTCCAGCTGGGCTTTCATGGCCTGCAGGGTGATGGTGCTGGAAGTCTTTTGAAGGACGGGGTTCTGAGAGCCCTTTCTGAGTGAGTCTCTGCTTGGCTCCGGCTGGGACTCCCTCTGGGGCGGTGCCTGGCTGTTTGTGGCCCAGGATGGGGGTCCACCTCTCTGGGGGCTTGGACAGTTCTTACTTTCTGCTGCTGTCTCCAGGCTGTCCAGTTTGGGCCCCTTTGCAATCCCATTTGTCACCTCCCTTCTGAGGTCTGAACTGGTGGTGAATTCCTTTATATCCAATGTCATCAACATCCACATTTTCCTGATGTTCTCGTAACATTTTTAATTGTTTCAGTCAGGACCCACACAGGTCTCTCTACTGCAAGTGCTGATGTTGCTTATGTATGTTGTAATCTAAGTTTCCTGCAGGTTGCTCTTCCGTTCCTTTTTTGTTTGCCATTTATTTGTTGGGGAAAAGATGGGTGAAGCTTGTCCCAAAGTTTCCAGGAGCTTGAAACTTGCTGGTTCTACCCCTATGCTATTGTTTAACAAGTTTCTCAAAGGTACGACATAGGTCTAGAGGGGCCAGCAGGTGGCGGAGTGGTTGGGGCACTGAACTCCGACATGGCTGACAGCAGTTCATGGAGGCTTGAAACATGCCAGACACGTGTGCATGCATGCCCAAAATCCCAGGAGGAGAATGGAAAAGAAGGGATTCCAGCATGGCCATCCCCCTTAGGGGGTGATTTCTCACTTTCTCTCTGCCTCTTTCTGTGTCTGACCCAGCAAGTGTGTGCACCCTATAGCAAAAATTTCTCTTAAAAAATAATAATAAAGGGGGAAATTTTGTAGTGAAAGAGATGGGTACAGGGATATTTATCACCATTTTGTTATAATAGTCAAAAAATACAAATGATTTCAATGTTCAATGAGGAAGAGCATGCATAAACTATACACATACTGTCCACGCAATATTCTATGACTATTAAAAACATACTTTCAAAGAGTACTAAATAATAAAGATGTTCATGTTACATGAGCAAATTAGGATAGAAAGCAGTAGGCAAACAGCACAATGCTAATTTTGTTTCAAAAACATTAAAATATCATTTATTTCTGAGTCATAAGATTACATATTGTTCAAATTCTCCACAATGAACCCACATTACTTTTATAAGCAGATATCACAATAAACATAAAATATGTGGGCTCCTGCAGAATCTCATATTACTCTCCACTTGGATATTTAGTGAACACGGGTTCTCTGTGGTCACAGAAGTGGGTCGTGGCACTCAGACAGCTGAGCAACCTACAAAAGGTAGCTCTTAGCCAGACTGAGAGCAGGGCTGGCAGAGGTAGGTATTGTGAGGTGATTCTGGGGAACTCCTGAGTAAAAACCTTTGACCTGAAGCAATGTATCTGGCCTTGTGGGTGGTTTATATTTCTATCGGGGGGTTTATATTCCTGAGGAGGAGGGCTGTAGGACATGGACATCTGCAACGTATAAGCACCCCATGAATGGTGCCCCCGGACAATCCAGGGTGACTGTACTCACTCTCCACCAGGAGGGTCCAGCTGCAGGACACCTGGCCGCGGATGTTGGAAGCCGTGCAGCTGTATTTCCCGCTGTCCCTTGCCCGGGGTCGTAGCAGGCAGAGGTAATGGGATCCGGCCTCTTCATAAACCTCAATGGTGTCTTCTTGTCTCCTCAAGGGGGTACCTTCCAGGAACCACACCACTTCAGGCTTTGGGATCCCTGAAACTACAGGGCCAAGTGACAAACATGAGTCCCTCAAAGAGCAGTGTGCTGTGGGCAGGGGGGTGACGCCTGGATCAGAGGGAAGCTTAGTTTGGAGGGGAGCTATCCTTTCACTGCTAAGCCTGCTTCTTTGTTCCCAACTCCGCACTCCATAAGAGACAGGGAAGAGATGTACGAGGGCGATAAGCCAAGTCTTCAGGGCAGCCAAAGCTAGGAAAGTGGGAGAAAGAGACCTTACTGTTGTTTTTTGGTGATGGTAATGATGTGGTTTTGTTCTTTCTAGGGTGGTCAGAATTAGGGCTCAGGCTGATGCTCTGTTCAACAATGAACAATGGGCCACTGCTGGGCGTCTCCCCAGAAAGAGATTTCTAGACTAACTCTTTCCTGAAACGAAGACTCTTGTAAGTGGCTTCCCGGGAACTAGTCCTAGGGGATGGGTGGGTATAGGAGGTGCAGACCAGCCATGTGCTGAAGGAAGGGAGTGGCCACCAAGATGCTGCCTCCTGGGAACCAGCACCCTTAATTAGCTCTACTCACCCTGACATCTGAACTTGACTGCATGATCCTCACTGACTTTCTGGCTTTGGGGCTTGCTCTCAAATTCAGGAAATGTCAAGTCCCTCCGGCTGTCCAAGGGTATCTTCCTGGTAGCAGCCTTGCTCACAGTGTCCTGGCTTCCCACGCCAGACAGCCTGGTGGGAAGGGTAACTGGATGGGGAGCAGATGGCCTCTTTCTCTCTTCTTCAGAAGATGAGAGGGCCCCCGAGACTGATGCTTTTGGTTCCAGCTGGGCTTTCATGGCCTGCAGGGTGATGGTGCTGGAAGTCTTTTGAAGGACGGGGTTCTGAGAGCCCTTTCTGAGTGAGTCTCTGCTTGGCTCCGGCTGGGACTCCCTCTGGGGCGGTGCCTGGCTGTTTGTGGCCCAGGATGGGGGTCCACCTCTCTGGGGGCTTGGACAGTTCTTACTTTCTGCTGCTGTCTCCAGGCTGTCCAGTTTGGGCCCCTTTGCAATCCCATTTGTCACCTCCCTTCTGAGGTCTGAACTGGTGGTGGCCTTTGTTCCTCTCACAGATGGTCTGTTGGGTGGTAGTGGTGGGGTCGCAGGTGGGGAGAAGGAATAGAAAGACCATCTGGTTACCCACAAGCTTTATTCATCTCAAGCGCAAATTCCAGGGATCACAGAAGTCCATAAATTAAGACTAAGAGCGAAAGTCCTTCTTTGCAGTTTGCTCAGTTTCCTACGCCTGGGCACAAGCTGGTATTCTTGACACTTCTCTCTCCTGCACCCCGTCAAGAGCTGTGTTTTATCACGTTTCCCTTCTCCAGTGGTGCCCCGCCCCACCCCAGTTCAAACCACCTGATCGGTTCCCCTGTTCACTCTGCCACTCTCTAATCCATTCTCTACATAGTAACCACAGTCAAGCTTTTTAAAAAGACACAAATCGAATTATGTCATACCGAGCTGGAGGCTTTTCTACGTTTTCCCACCATATTACAAATAAACCTGAGCTTCTCAAGATAGTTGAAAGGATGCTGGCTCTGGTTGCTGGTGTCTCCTGACCCTCACAAGACACTGTCCTGCTTCCCAGCGTGGGCTGTGACCCCGCGAGTATTCTTTTGCATTTCCCACCCTCACTCATGGCTTCCACACACACCGTCTCCTCTCTTTGGAACGATTTCTCCCTGAGCTTTGATTCACCAGCTAATATTACTCTCCCTAAGTCAGACCTCAAATGCCAGGTTTCCGGAAAGGGCCTCCTAATGCGCCAGTCTAAAGGAGTGCCTCTCTGTTACTCTTCCTCACAGACAGACCACAGCTCGTAACTGTGTATCCGAGCACTTGTTTAAAGCCTTCTCTGCACTAGACTTTCTGCTCACCCTTGTGCACCAGGGTCTGGCACTGAGTCTTCCTCATGAGAAAGGACACTCCTGTGCTGAATGACTGAATGGATTCTGGCCTGGGACATGAACAGCAGCCTTCTCAGGGCGGAAGCTCCTTTTCCTGAGCTCTAACCAGAGAAGATGCTGTGCAGATACCGAGGAGAGCGGTGGCATTGAATTTTCAAGAGTCTCAATACTGACAGCAGCCCTGACTTAGCATGGCCTGTTATGACAGGAGAACAAAACATGTCATGCTAACCAACACTCCTGGAGAGCCAAGCCTCCCTCCCTATACAATGACTTGAAAACTTGGGCTGGTCTTTGTTAACAATCCTTCTTTCCTTGCAGGGTAATTTGAGACAGAAAACATAGTAAGCACAAAGCCTAGACATACCTATTGACATTGTCCAAACCTGGAAAAAAGAGGAAGGGTAGAAAGATTGTTAGGGGAATATTTTATACATCAAGAGGAGAAAATAATGGGGTGTTTATTACAGGGTTTCTACTTCCCAAATCTTTCCCTGTCACCATGGTCCCACCCTGCCTCCCTCCTTCCAGCTTCCCTGCGCTGAATGTCTCTGGATAATCTGCTCCATCCCTCCCAGCCCTGGGGAACACTGTCAAAGGTTCAGTGCTGCCCCTTCTGGACTTCTTAATAAGGGTTGGAACTACCACAACCTGAGGGCATGCAATCTGTTCCTGTTCACTGACCAGAAGGAAACAAAAATGACTGGGAGACAAACAAAAATGAAAATTGCTAAACATTGCAAACCCCCAAAAGTGTTCATTTTTTTAAAACAAATAGACAGTTTTAAAACATACAAAGTATAATTTGATTCAGCTCTTCAAAGAAAAAAACATACTATTTTTTTCCTGCAACATTCTTTATTTTTATTTATTTATTTACTTATTTATTTTTGCCATAGGGTGTATGCCCTTGCCAGAGAGAAGACAGAGAGAGAAAAATGAGAAATCACTCCCCAGGGGGATGGCCGTGCTGCAATCCCTTCTCCTTCATTCTGCTTTTGGTATTTTGGGCACACACGTGCCCAGTGTGATTTTCAAGCTACCAGGTACAGGACTCAAATCATGGTCAGCCATGTGGGAGTCCAGTGCCTTAACTGCTACATGGCCTGGTAGCCCCTCTTTCCGACCTTCTTAATTTGTTCTTTTTTTAATTTGCTATAGGGTGTGTGTTCTCACTGGAGAGAGACAGAGAAAGAGAGAAGAGAAAGCAAGAAAGCATCCTCCAGGAGGGATGACCACACTCAATCCCTTCTCCACCTTCCCTCCTCTCAGGATTCTGGGGCATGCATGCACATACACCCAGCATGTTTTCTAAGCTGTTGGGTCGGTCCAGGACTTGAACTGTATAGTAAGCCATGTGGGATTCAGCTGCCTTAACCACCAGACCACCTGGCTGGGCCCCCTTTCAAAATGTTATCATGAAAAAATTAAAAATATACAGTAGTAGAAAGAAAGCTCTAACAAAACCTGAAACCAATCACCAAGACTAAGGAAAGAGCAGCATTTTGCCAGTTTTCTGGTGTTTCTTCTTTCTTCTCCCTTCCAGTGTTTTTCTTTTGAGTATTTTATTTTATTAATTAATTAATTAATTTTTTTGAGAGGTTTTTGCTATAGGGTACGTGCACTCACCAGAAAGACAAAGAGAGACAGAGAGACAGAAAGTGAGAAATCACCCCTCAGAGGGGATGGCCATGCCGCAATCCCTTCTCTTCCATTCTCCTCTCGGGATCTTGGGCACGCACGCACACGCACCCGGTGTGAGTTTATGCCACCAGGTCCAGGACTCAAACCACAGTTGACCACATGGGAGTCCAGGGACATAGCCATTATGCCAACTGCTGGTTCCATTTTTGAGTATTTTAAAACAGATCTCTGCAGCACATCATTTTGCCATTAGGTACATCAGGAGAGAACAGTTCTTAATCCAGTGCTAGAGCAAGTAAAGGGAGAGTCTAGACACGGTCTGATGACAGGTCCCATCCAGCAGAGAGCTGTCAAAATCTGTGGTCAGAACCAGGGTTTATTGTTATAATGGGGCTGAACAGGCTAGAAAACACCTATATGTACTGCACACAGTCTGAGTCAGGGTCATTCATGAAACTTGTTCAGTTACGTATGTTTACATATGTATGTATGTTCTGGGCTGTAATATAAAAGAAGTTCCTTTCTGTGGATTGTGAAAAACATTTGGGCCAAAAAGAGTAAAGAGAACAGAGGGGAATAGTTTTCCTCCTGAAAAAGGGAGGAGATGTAAAAAAGGAATAGAAGAAAAAAGGAGAAAGTGAAGGTCATATCCCTCCCTGAGGTCCTGACCCAACCTTCCCCAGTTCCTGCTCCACAGAAGTAACCCTTAGCCCTTTCTGCATCCACTGACTCCAGATTTCCAGACTAGACTTGGAGGAACCAAGAGGCCTGTGAGGAGACATTCGGAGAGATTATCAAGGAAGAGCTTATAGGAGTTGGTGGTTAAAGTATCAAAAAGGCAGGGGCCAAAGGGGATGCTGAAATGTCCCATCTGGATGTGAAGGAACATGGGCTCCGGGATAGAAGGAGTTCAATTGAGGGAACATCTGATTTGAAAGATAGACTGGATGATAAGTTGAATTTTAGGCAGGTTAAATTTAGGGTAGGGACCAGCAGTTAGTGTAGTGGCTATGTTACTGGACTCCCATATAGTCGACTGCGGTTCAAGTCCCGGACCTGGTGGCTTAAACTCACGCCAGGCGCATGTGTGTGTGTGCCCAAGATCCCAAGAGGAGAACCAGAGGAGAAGGGATTGCGGCGTGGCCATGCCCCGTGGGGGGGTGATTTTGCTTTCTGTCTTTCTGTCTCTCTGTCTTCCTGGAGAGCGTACGCGCCCTATAGCAAAAAGTCTCAAAAAAAAAAAAAATTAAGGTGATGTAAAACATTCACAGCATCCACTCTTCCAGGGCACTTAGAACAAAAAAAAGGAGTCTGAGCCAGAAGAAAGGAGTGAAGACACAGGAATGGAGTGTAAAGATACAGGTGACAACGGCAGCCAGCATGTGACATTTCCCTCCATAGCTGGGTCCTGTGCTGCCCGGCCCCCTGCCCTGTTCTTGTTACAGACTCCGCCTTGGGGAGAGTCACACGTGTGTGTCACACATACACACGTACACAGATGCATAACGAACGAGCAGCTCCTCTAGTGGGGTGTGGACACCAGGAGGGGATCCGCCCACACTAGCTGGCCCACCCTCTACCAGGTGATACCTTGGATGGACAGCTCAGCCGACATGGAGGCCTTCCCTGACCCGTTCACCACCATGCACGTGTACACGCCCACATCATCCTGGCTGACCTCGTGGATTTCCAGAACTTGCACCCCATTCTTCTCAGACATAGACATGCGGGCACTCGGCTGCAGTGGGACACTTCCCTGTGGAGGCGAGAGTGTAGGCTGGTCAGAAACCCAGTACCTTACTCCACATTTGACTCTGCTGTGCTCACCAGGTCCGTCTTAGCTCAAAAGATTTACACTATTTTGTGAGCGTGAGAGTTTCGGAAACACTGCCGTCTGAGTAACAGTAAGTGTGCAAACACTACCAAGAACAAGCATCGCTATCGAACACATAGAGACCCTTTAGGACCACCTATGATTGAGACAGAAGAATTTGACTGAAAAGACACATCCCTATAAGTCAAAGTCTAATCTGACTCTGAATCAGAGACAGGGCTGACAAAAACCTCACCTTGAGCCAGGTGACCTGTGGCTGGGGACGGCCAGTGATTTTGCAGGAAAATCGTCCCATCTGTCCTTCTCTGACCACTGCCCGGCCCAGCTTGGTAGCAAACTTCGGTGGGCACTCTCCCCAGATGCTGGGACGGGTCTCTGCTGCCGGTGCTGGAAATCTGTCCCTGGAGAGAAATCAGCAAAGAATCCCAACTCAGACAGGTAGCAGTTCAAACCTCTTTCCTCCTCTCACCCAAGTCACTTATGCTGGAGTCAGAAACCAACAAAGGTGGCCTTCCCTTCTCTGTGCCTCACTTACTCATACCATTTCTGAAAAATACTTGTCCCCAAACCTTTCTCTGTCTCTCGGGTATGCTGCTAAACTTCGCAGACTGCCACCCTTGCAGCTAGGTCCACCTACATTCTACTCCTCTTTGACCAAAAGTCCAGGTTTTGGCTAATAGACTCTGAGCAAAAATGCTGTACGTCACTCCCAGGGCTGACCCATAAAACCTCCCACCAGAGTCTCCACACTTGCTCAGCAACTCTGCGGGCTAATTGCTGAGGGTCTAGCAGAGCCTCCCAGGCCCTAGGAGATGAGAGAGCAGTGCACTGGGAAAAGCCTAGATTCCTGGCTTTCATGTTATCCTTCACTCGTTCAAGAACATCTGAAATAAACTTGCCATGATGGGACCAGCAGTTGGTATAATGGCTATGTTGCTGGACTCCCATGTAGTCAATGCAGTTCGAGTCCCGGACCCAGTGGCTTAAACTCACACCAGGCGTGTGTGCGTGCGTGCCCAAGATCCCATGAAGAGAATGGAGGAGAAGGGATTGTGGCGTGGCCAGCACTCCCCCCAGGGGGGTGATTTCTTGCTTTCTGTCTCTCTGTTTCTCTGTCTTTCTGACGAGCGCACGCGCCCTTTAGCAAAAACCTCTCAAAACCAAACAAACAAACAAACTTGCCATGGGTAAGAAGCAGACTTTCCCTGTGATAACACATTGTGATTTAGAACTCGTCGGTCATAGCAACTACCGTTACTTGCCTTTTCTAGCCTGCTTCTTTAAGTCTTCTATGGCCTTGACTTTTAGAGTGCCCTGAAGACCATGGCCATATCTCCCACGTCCTTAGCATTAGCAGCTGGGCCAGTCTAACGGGCGACCCACAGAAAGTGTCAGGTCAGGAGGTACTGCGTGAGGAACACGGCCCCTCCCACTCTGCCCCATCCTTTAGTTATTACAACCTAGGATGACCAGGAGACTTTTCCTCCCTAGGCCCAGCCTGGTCAAGTCAGTAGGAGAAGCCAACCCAAACCTCACTGGCTTCAACATCCCAGCGCTTACCCCAAGGTTTTGGAAGGTTGACCAGGCTTCTTCACAAAACTCCCTGCAAGCAAGAAACAGAAAGAGGGTTGAAGAATCAGGCCTGAGCCACCAACATGGAGCAAAGAAAGACAGAGGCTTGGCAAAGGGGTGAGTGGGATAATGACGGGGACGGTTAGCCCTGAGCGAGCTCAGGTCGCCAGGCGCTGTGGCAGGTCCTTTACACGTATCATCGCACGCGTTTCTGGCAGCAATGTAATGAGGCTGGTACTATATTAGCCTTCTCTTTTTTAAACGTGAGAAAAATGACATTTAGGGAGGTCAAGTCACCCATGCAAGGTCACAGGGCCTGTATCAGTGCAAGAATTCACCCGAGTCTGCTGGAGGCTAGAGTATTCAGCCACTCTGCTGAATTGTGAGGCGGCACAGTGGACCTTCTGCTTTGGGGGTTATGGGTGGTGATCCAGGACCTTTTGCAAAATAACCTAGTTAAAGGGAGGGAGGGAGAGGCCCAGGTACACTTCTTGCCATGCCTGTTCACAGCCCACACAGTGCTTCCTTGTTTCACTTAAGGCCCAGCTAAAAGCAAAAAGCGGAAGTGGAGCAGGAGGGAACACCAAGACGAGCCACAGCGGAGCCAGCCCCTTGCCCAGATCTGCAGGGCTGCACACTGGGCACCCCGTCCAGGGCGAGGTGCTGCTATTGGCACTGCCGGTCCTGAGTGGATGAAGCCACAGCAGGTGCTGCTCACTGGATGCCGCTGGTCCTGGGTACGCTGCTCTGCTGGGCTGGGAGCAGTTAAACTCAAAGCCAGCAAGCCAGCTGGGCCAGCGCCTTTCATCCAGCCTCTGCAGCTGGGGACGGACAATTCATAACATGGCCAGGAAGTAACAATAAAGTAGTAAGGTTTTATTTTTATTTACTTATTTTTAAGGAATGGGGAAGGGGAGAAGAGGACATTTTTGAGATGGTGATTACCTTAGAAGTTGTTTTCTTTTGGCTACAAGCTGGGAATGTTTATAAAACCCTATCCAAGACACACATGGAAAGGGTAGGTCTCATTCTCGGATATCAGCAAGCAGCTGCGGGGGGGAATGTGCAGGGTGTTTACTGGAAAAGGGTAAACTTCCTCAGTTCTAGCACTGCTCACATTCGTACGACTGCATAAGAACACAGGCATGGTGGAGAAGGGCCATCGCTGCTTCCCTCTGCCATGCTGGTCTGAGGTCTCACCAGAATCTTAGTGAGAAGGGATTAATAAACACCCACATCCATATCATTGGATTACTACACATGCATTTCTGTTTACCATGACTACTTAGTGAGCTCTATGGTTTTCATTCTATACTCTGATTTGGTTCTCTGTCCAAGATGAAAAGAACTTCCAAACTGATATGAAAGGAAGCCTGTTCTAGAAAGACCTAACTGACACGTACAGTCCAAATGCTGGGCCCCTCAGACACTGCTGGAGGGAGTGCCAACTGCTCAGTGCTTCTGGAAAGTATTTGAGCGAGTAAAAATAATCAGCTTTTAAAGATGCTCTGCTCTTACACCAGCACCTCCCTCTCTGTGACTCCATTCAAAGGAAACAATGCTGAAAATAGAAAAGAAAGTTTACGAAGCTGTTCAGTTTGGTCTTATCTGTAATAGTAAAAATGAGAAACGTAAATGTCACACCGCAGAAAGACAAGAAGTGACTGCGTAAGGTGTGAACTAGACATAATACGACAGCGTTATATACATACCAAATCACCAAGGCCCCCCTACACGTGTCTAAGTACTGTCACTGCACTTTCCAGTGCTACTGTGTCACCCGTTTGGTCTCGGAGTAAAGGCTTAATAAAAATTAGAGCGACTAACTGATGAATGGATAAATGAAAAGAGACCTGTCCATACAATGAAATCTTATTCAGCCATGAAAGGAATGAAGTGCAGATAGATACGACAACACGGATTAACCTTAAAAGGCATGCTAATCAAAGAACCCTAGACACAAAGGCCACATACTGCATGGTTCCATTTCTATGAAATGCCTGGGAGAGGCAAATCCATGGAGAAAGAAGGTGGGAGCAGTTGACAAGGGCTGGGGAACAGGGAATGGGGAGACAATTATTGGTGAGTCGGGGGTTTCCATGGGGTAAGGAGGAAGCTCTGGAACGAGGTGGTGGTGATGACTGTACCGCATTGAGAAGGCACTTACTGACATTGACTTATATACCTCAAAGTGGTCAAAATGACACATTTTATGTTAAGTGTATTCAATCACAATTTTAAAAAATGAACATTTTAAAACTCTTGGGAGCTAAACATCTTAATCCTAAAGCTAAAATTCCTTTCTTCCTTAAAAAAAAAATATATATATATAAAAGCAAGGACCAACAGATGGTGTAATGGTTACATTGCTGGACACCCATGTAGGTGACTGTGGTTCGAGTCCCAGACTCAGCAGCTTAAAACTCATGCCACACGCATGCGCAGGCATACCCAAAATCCCAAGGGGAGAATGGAGAAGAAGGGGTTGTGGTGTGGCCATCCCCCTGAGGGGTGACTTCTCATTTTCTGTTTCTCAATCTCTCTGACAAGCACATGCACCCTATAGCAAAAATCTCTTCAAAAAAAAAAAAAAAAAAAGAGAGTCAAAATAGAAGCAAAAATACGGCCTTATCCCAAAGAAAGCTATTTAAAGGAACTTCTATGTCAGAGTAAGAGCAACTTATGATAAGATTTGAAGGTAATGCAAAACCAGTCAGCTAAAAATAAAATGGAGGAATGCTTATTTTAATGTGAATTAACACCAGAAAGTTAACATCAAAACAAAAAGAGAATTTGGGCTAAAATAACTAACAGGGTTTATTTATAGGAAAAAATTTGAAATTGCCAATTGTCAGATAAGGCAAAATTAATTTTGTGAAAGTATGAAAATCTGGCAGAACAGTAAAGCTATGTAGAAAAATAAGTGGCGAGGCAATTAAGGTAGAAATGCCAGAAAGAGAAGATTGCGTTAAGAGAACTGGTGAGTCACAGGATCAAGTAGGTGAGGAAAAGAAAAAGTCAAGACACTGAAGGTATTTAACCAGTTACCTTGGATTTTCCAAGGTCAGCAAAACCCTGGCAGGTTTCAGGGTGAAAATGCAATAGTCGGGGAATAAAAGGAGGCCCGGCACTTTCTGTCAAAGGATACTGAAAGACAGAATAGAAGTAGAACACGCTGCTCAAACAGGGAATAACGTGATCAAGGCCGTGAGGAGGAGAAATGCTTCTCAAAATGTGTGGCAATGTAATTTATCATCCAAACAAGGACTCTGGACACCAAGAGGGACACAATTAACAATTACGCCAGGACGGCGGGAGTAAGGCAGGACTGTTCCAGGAAAACCTGGGAGTAGACGCCTTACTTATAGCCAACGCCCAAATATTTTATTTATTTACTTTTTTGGAGAAGTTTTTGCTTTAGGGCGTGTGCGCTTGCCAGAAAGACGGAGAGAGACAGAGAGACAGGAAGCGAGAAATCCCCCCGCAAGGGGGATGGCCACTGTGCAATCCCTTCTCCTCCATTCTCCTCTCGGGATCTTGGGCATGCACGCACAGTGTGAGTTTAAGCCACCGGGTCCGGGACTCAAACCACGGTCGACTACATGGGAGTTCAGCGACATAGCCATTATGCTAACTGCTGGTCCCATGCTGAAGTATTTTTAAGGACGGCTTAAAATAGTGGCTTTGTGTTCCACCAGAACAAAGGCCCACTTTTTATAACACATATTTAATAATAACCCTGTACCACCCTGAATTGAAGTTTGCTGTCGATCACCCATACAGATAATATTAAAATGAAAATAAACATAAAGCCTTAACTAAAATGTGAAGGAGATACAGGAGGAAAATAAGTTAAGTTAGTATTTATTGGGGCCAGCTGGTGATGTGGTGGTTGGGGTGCTGGATTCCCACGTGGCTGACCGCAGTTCAAATCCCGGACCTGGTGGCTTGCTGTCTCACTTTCTCTCTCTCTGGAGAGTTCACGTACATTGTAGCAAATTAAAAATAATAACAATAATGATAAATAAAATGAAATAATTGGCCAGGTGCTTACATCAATGCATAGGGCATGTCTGGATTTAAGAAGGATGATCAAAAATCAGACTGTACAAGTAGTCCAGGAAAATGGAAGTGCACAGATACCCAGGGTATTAGGATACTAGAAATTAGAATGATGTTAGGATAAATAACAGAACAGATGCATTATGAGACTATTTCATGAAAATTCATGGAAAATGGAATTAAAGTAGGAGTTTATTTTGCTGCAAAAAACTGATACATAATCTGTGCAGAATGTAAAGTTTTCAAGAATTTCGAAGCTAGAACCTCCTTCCTTTTAAGATTCCCCCTTCATAATGAGCATTTCTTTTTTTTTAAAAAAAAGAATTATTTGGCTTCTTTCTCACTTTTGCATAACTGAAGAAGCTTCTCCTCCCACTTTTGCATAACTGAAGTATAGGACGTGAGGGTGAGGCCCTGGGGAGCTCTTCCTGGGAAGCACATCCTGCACTCAGTGCTTGCTCACTGCACCAGCAGCTCCCCAGTTACTGGGAAATCAAAAGGGCCCTACGAATTCCCTAAGTGCCTCCTGGAGGGTGGTACTGTCTCCATTTGGAGACACTGGCTCTAAAATCTTTGGAGAACTGCCTGACATCAGAACTTCTGGTTGAATATTAAACTTGATATTTAAGAGACAAGAGAAGGAAAAAATGTTGAAACTAAAGGTCACTGAAATTGCTCAGTGTGAACAATATTTTTTGCAGAAGCTCTGTAAGTAATGCTCCTCTACCCTCTTTGAAGCATTCAATCTCTCTCTTCAGGATCAGATTTCATTCCAGTTTTTATTGTACTCATTGGTCACTTGTCAAAGCACTGGCTAATTCCTCATACTTAATAGGGACTGAGTCAGTATTTTACTACAAATGAGGATCCAAAGACAGTCACGCAGGTAGTCAAAAAGTATTTACTCAGGGGCCAGCAGATAGCGTACTGGCTATGTCATTGGCTTTCCATATAGTCGACTGTAGTTTG